TCCTGCACCTCAAATTTAGGTTAAAATCCAAGCAGGGGTCCTACTACTGTGAAAGTTTTAGTGGAAGTAATTCCAAACCATTAAATCCCATTTTGAACCACTTTTTGACCGAAGGGTCTCAGTGTAAGTTGAACCTGTATCTAAACTTTGCATTAACATGTCCCACTTCTGAAGTACTGCAGAATCATCTGATTTTTCTTTGACTCTAATTAATGTGGCAAAGAGCTGGACCACTGCAGCTGGATTCAATGGAGTGCTTCTTAACAGGAGGCTGGAATTATAGTGCAACTTCAGAAGACGCTCTTCTGGAGTCGATGGTGACATTCAGGACTGGGGCGGGCATCGGCACGGGGACTGGGCATACTGGAAATCATTTTCGAGAATTCATAGCCATTTCACCCAATGCTTTCCAGAGTCTAAAGTGGTCTATGCTTGAGACAAGTAGGGAAAAAACTAGACAAACAGAACCCCAAAGTCCTCCCTGGGGCAAATCATCTTCCCTGGGCTCAGGGTTGAAATGCTGAGAAAAGACCCAGTTTCTCAAGTGAGGAGCCAGGCTGCTCTGGCAGGCCACATGTTGTAACCAGCAAGCCTATGTGACACACATGGATGGGAGAATCACTGGGGTACTGCCGGGAGGGCAGGGGTCTGAGAAGAAATGATCTGAAGTCAGACCAGTGCTCAGGTTGATGGCAAAAGCCCTGAACCACAAGTCTGTTTACTGAAGAACCTGGGAGAGACACGCAATTCATTTGTTTGTTTTTTTTAGCTCCTTCCCATGCCAGGGAGTATATAACCTGTGTGAGTGTGGAGCCAAACACACGCCCACACACTCATGGCATGCACGTGCTGCTGAACAAGCAGGCAGTGTGACATTCCAACTCATACGACCTACTGCCAAAGTTCCTTTTTTTATTGCTTCAAATCTCACTACCAACTGTGTGACCCTGAGTAGCTTCAACTTCTCTGGGCCTCAGATTTCTCAGTGGCACAGATAGCACCTCCTTACAGGGCTATTTTAAGAATTAGAGCTGAGGCCCTGGCTGGGTAGCTCGATTGGAACGTCATCCTAATACACCAAGGTTGTAGGTTTGATCCCCAGTCAGGGCACATGTAAGAATCACCCAGTGAGTGCATAAATAAGTGGGACAACAAATCAATGTTTCTCTCTCAAATCAATAAATTAAAAAAATTTTTTTTTAAAAAGAATTAGAGTTGATCTGTGTAAAGCACCTAACCCTAGGGATGCTTCAAGGATTAAATGTGATCAAGCAAGTAAAGGAGTTAGAATAGCGTTAGACACCAAGTAAGTACTCAATGAAAGGTAGCAATACTATTATTATTTCCTTTCAAGCTTATGGTCATATATTAAGCAGCTCCTCTTCTGACAGAACCTTTCACATAACCTTTGGATGCTAACCCAGCTCAACTGCTCACCACGTATGTGGCTTTGGACAAGTCACTTCATCTCTGTGAACCTAATCTTCAAGATGAGGGGTGGGAACCTGGCCATTTTCTCCCACTAAAGAAGTTACAATCCAAAGAACAGCCCCTCTGTAGTCCCATGTTTGCAAACACTTACTCGCTAGTTCCGAGGAGATCGCTGTAATGCACACTTCCAAAGAAGATACTTGTTTTTTACAGATAGGCAAGTTATCTGCAGTCATCCACACTAGTCATTGCATGTGACTTAGGAATCACACTCTTTCTTTGCTTTAATGCTGTGTCTGCGTCTAGACTGTAACATTCTCCTTGAGGACAGAAGCCTGGCCTTGCCCTCCACATGCCCTCAGTATTTGCACAGTCACATTACATTCTACTTAATAAAGGGGAAATGGATATTGGTTAACAGGGGACCATCATTTGTGGGCACCTTCTACTAGCAGTCCGGTAATGAGCCATTCACTTCCAATCAGCAAAACGGCGTTTGCGATTTTAAATTTGAGTTCAGAGGCTGCCAATTGCTTGTCCACAGGTCGACTAGCAAGTTATATTTGGCCCACCTACACAATGTTTTAAAATGTTCTGAGGTGGTATCCAACCTTTAGAAATTGGAAGATTTGGCATAAAAGAAAATCTAGATTTCAGTTTCTGTTGAAGAATTGGAAGATCTGGCAACAATCTAGGATTAAATGATCAGCAGTAGCTGAAGAAAAGCTGCCCTTTTTACTGCTTTACAGCTCACTACAGGCTCCACTAACTGCCCCCCTCCCTGTTTTCCAGAACTATCTCTGAATCAAGCTGTTGATCATTAACCTTCAAAGAGTAGGAATTAACTCTTGGTGTGCCTGCATCTATTTTGTGCATTCCATTTAAAGCAGTGTGTTTTGCATGAAGCACTCCAATAGTGCTCCATAAATGTGAGAAGAAGGTACAAACTTGACCAAGTTTGCAAACATGTACTAGATGGTTCCAAGGAGATTTCTGTGATGCATGTTTCAAAAAAAATATATTTGTTTTTTTCCAGATAGACATGTTATCTATTCTTTCATGGAGTCAGACTAGAGAGATAAATCTCATGTCACTTATCAAAACAAACTGAAGGAGAAGAAGTAAACAGAGGCCTGAAAGGCAGAAAAGCAATTTTTAAGAATTAATAAATGATGAGACTATTAACAACACACAAAAAAGGTTTGCTCTTCCCCTCCCCTTTAATATGATTTTTACCTTAAACACTGTGTCCCTTTAGGAAAGGGAAGAAAATTTAATAAAGGAACCTATCACTCAAACTTAATTTTTAGTATGGCAAATAAACTGCTTTAATGAAAGGGCTGAAATCCCCAGGTTTTGCACATTAAAATTTCATTCGTCGTAGAGAATGGAAATTATTGATTCAGCCGTGGCATCATGCATTTTGAATCCTACAGTGCCTTGGAAGCCCACGTTACTGCTGGGTGCAAATGTGTTGGCAGTGTTTTGATGCAGAGTGAGCACAGGGTGGGTGAGGGGGATATCGAGAAGGGAAGGAAGCAAACTGGCTCCTCATGGAAAGAAAATAATGCTCCTTGTCGCAAAGATCCACTTAAACAAAGCACTACTTCTGATGGCACGATGGGCCAGGGGTGCCTTCTGATATCAGAAAAGCTGGGTTCACTCAGTCTTTTGGGAAATGCCTACAGCTTCACGGGATACTTTAAAAAAAAGATCACTCGGGATGGATGGCTGATGATTTGAGCCTAAGCTCTTGGGGAAGTTTGGTTTCCAGAAAACTGCAGAGGAAAGAAAAGTATCTTTCTCACTTCAAGGTCAGGGTGTCCATCAACGGAAGAGTAAATGTCTGACATTCTAATGCTGGATAGCACAGAAAAATCAATCAAACCCACAACTACAGCTCTCAACCTGGTATGGCCTTATCAAAGAGTTAGGTGACATGAGCATCCCATCTTTTCTTACAGCGCAAAAATAGGTATGCCTTTCCTTTGAAAGAAATTAATTCTCCTATTTCTCAGAGGACTACTCCATAATTAAACAACTCTCAATTATTTCCCTCTTAGAGAACTCATAGGGATTGTTTCTAAACCAAGACTGAGACAACCTGAATGAGGCCCATTTTGGGGTCTTTGTGTACCAGGGACTGTATAAGATCAGGAAAGCAATTGTCTTTAGAAATAAGCTAAACTCAATTGGAAAAGTAAAGCTGCTTAAGGGATGACGAAATGAAAGACGGAAGGAAGGGAGGGGTAAGGAGAGGGAAGGAGGGGTGGACGATAGAAAAGAAGGAAGGAAGGAAAGAAGGAAGGAAGGAAGGAAGGAAGGAAGGAAGAAAAGAAAAAAGGAAAAGAAAAGGAGGGGGAAAAAAAAAAGAAAGCCAGTCACATAATATATTCCAAAAAGAGAAGGCTTTTTTTTTTTTTTTTTGTTTTGGTTATGTTTTTATTTTGATAACTTCCCAACTAAGATGATCTTATACCGCTAGTCTCCTCTGTCAGTCTGGATGTTGGAAAAGTAGCTCTGTTGAACTAAACAGTTTTGGTTTTGTGTTTTCAGACACTAAGAGCTGGTGCCATCTACAGATTTCCATTCTGGGAGAGGTTTCTCTTTTGTCCTACTTTGCGTCAGACTTGCTGTCGTGAGGATAAGAGTGCCCAGGAGACACCTCCCCATGGTTTAATAGGCTCTGAAGAATGGGACTCATTAATTGGCTGGCAGCTGACCCCAAACAGGATGCGAGGTGGGAAAGACAGACAGGAAAGGAAGCTAAGGAGGAGGCAGGTTCCATTCAGGAGCGCACCACTGGCTGTCAGAAGCGAAAAAGCAAACAGCACCACCTCCTGAAGGATCCCCATAAGGTAAAGTCTGATCTGAGAGTGAAAATCCAGCAGCAGAAATCTCAGTCTGGGTAACCCTTTTTCTATTTTTAACTGAACCCTTCTTGAGCTATTATGTATCAGTCTGATTATTTTCAGAGGGCTGGAATGTTACTTTTTCTTTCAGTCCTTTATTATGTTCCCATAGATATTATACACTATTGCACTAATGTGTTTATCACTGATTTTTCCTTTTCAAGTCTGTTAGGAGGATCCTCTCCACCTTTGGGTAAAGCCAAGCTGCTCAGCCTGGCACGTGAGGCCCCTGCCTCCCCTCCCCAATCTTTTCATTACCTCCCATCCAGACTTAGGCCACGCTGTTCTAAGTGCTGGTCTCCACTCACAATGTTTATGTCCATTTTCACAGCTTTGTCTGAAACAGCTACCTTGTCTCAGCTTCCTGCCGAGCTCAGCTCTGGCTGCCTCTGCAGACCCAGGCTCACCAGCCTCCTCGGGGGCGTAGTCATCCCAACACCCTAAGAGCCTTCTGGACTGGACGTCCCACAGCTCATGGTCCCTTCCCTGTGCTCAGTCCTCACCTCGCTTTTCTGTAGTGATCTGTGTCCCACATAAATGTTCTTCGAATAAATCAAGAATATCATTTCCAGCTCCCTCATGGCCTTTATTTATTAGATCAAAGGGATGAAATTAACCAGCACCTCCCCAGTCAGGAGCCAGCATATCACCTCTTACCTTTATGGTTTTGGTCTGGAGTCTGAGTCCATTTAAAGTGTTGATGGCTTTCTCTGCATCCTTTGGATCAATATAGTTAACGAATCCATACCCTAAACTCTGTCCTGTGGAAACATTTTTTAAAAAGGAGAGAAGGAAAGAAAGAGAGAGAGACAGCTCAATATCTTTATAGAGGTAACACTTCACATTGCAGTGAATCCAAACCCTCCTTTAGTATATGGTTTCTTTTATACCAGGGTTTACTCCCAGGTTGAAAATTTCAAATTCTTTCATGTCTCGTTCTGGTCAGCTTTTAAACTCACAGGAGCTGCCCAAGCTGGGAATGGGTAAGTGCCCCCCTACATATCCACACCATGTACACACAAATGTTTACATAATGGGAGAGTCAGGACAGGGTAGTGGAAAGAGAATAAATGTCATTCGTTAAAGAGAATTGAACTGGAGTCCTGGGGCTTTTCCTATCAGCTGTGTGGCTTTGGAGACAAGTCATTTCATCTGGTTTTTCCCTCCAACGTCTCCTCTCTGGAAATAACAGCACTTGCCACATACAGGTTTGAGAGGGTTAATCAGATATTGTATATAAAACCCCTACCAAGTACATTGCCTAGAATATAGTAGCTGTTTAACAAAAGGCAGCTATGCTATGCTCAGTGCTGTGAAACTGGGGCAAGCGCTGGTTGCCGGAGCTGTGTCTGCTGCCTCTGTCCTGCCAGCCGCACCCACTCCGAGGACTGTAGCAGGATCTGAGCGGCAAAGACTGGAGACGTTACAGTGAAGGCATGGCCAGAATTTAAAGCAGTTGCTACAGATCATTCATTGACTCCATCATCCCTCCAGCCCAACAATAATAAAAAAGGGGTGGTTCTGTTGGAAAGAACTGGGGAGCTCCTAACTCAAAGAGGGGGATGTGCAGAGGCATTCTCCAGAGATGATTTAGCTCCTTTCAGTGGAGAAGGAGTCAACTTGTCTGCAGAGAGAGGTGGCAAGTGACAGGACTCCCCTCTAAGTGAAATAAAAATAATGTGTTTGCAATTGTGCCACTGATTATAAATAGTCCATCAGCTCTGCCATGTGTCATCAGCCAGAAATATCATTAGGAAACTTTACATTTTCTGACATACCCTTTAAGAAACACAGAGCTCAGGGTGGCTCGAAACCAGATTGTACTTCTCAGGCAATGTTATTGATTTGTGGGGGGTGGCAGAACCGAAGGGGAGGAAAATGACAGGACATCACATGTCGGGGAGGACTGGTTACATAAAGCCCCCCTTGGAGTACAGGGGCCAGGGCTAGGAGACAAGACAGCAAAGCGCCTGCCATGTCCTGGTGACAGGAGCCCAGTTCAGCAGCCAAAAAAATCTTTCCAACAGCTTCTGTTTTGCTGGTAAATGTCTGTGTTTGGGTTGGTTGTGGGAGGGAACCTGGGAAAACAAGTTGGGTTCTGTATCTGAAAATGGGTGACTTTATTATAGGGAGGAAATAAAGAGAATCATGAGGAAACTCAAATGTATTTTTTGAAAAACCCCAAAAGGCCATTTTTTCCCCTAGGATATTCCTTTGTGTTTTAGAATAATAGAGCGAGAATAGGAAAAGACAAGGGCAGAGACAAACTTTGCCAGGTATGCCCTTCACCAGCCAGGATCAGTGACTGAAAAAGGAGAGAATGCTGAGCGCCCTCCTCTTCCTCTTTCACTGTGTTTGGCTCTGTGTGTGTGTGTGTGTGTGTGTGCACGCGCACAGAAGAGTAAACGTGAGGGAGAGGTATGTGTGAATTAGAAGACCCTGTCACATGTTCCAAGAAAATTTCTGCAAACCAAAAAAATAAAAGAGACTAATTTCATTGGTTTAAAAATATCATTTATCCTGTACTTGGCTCCACCTCAACAAGCCTAACTTAGTTTATCTAATTAAATTCATTTTCATCATCCACATTTATTTGTCCTGTTCACCTTGTACATAAGAGAAACCTTAAAAACTAATGTACTACAATATTTTTACAATTATTTATTTTAAATAGCCATACACCAAGTTGAGCAGTATTAAAGGACATTTTAAAAAGCAATAATCCCAATGATAAACCTTAGGTGTGAGTTCTAGGAAATGGGTCAGATAGTCAACCTATCCAGCAAAATTTAATGTGTGTAAAATTATAATTAAAAATATAGACAAAGCACTCACCACTTAGCTGCAAACACTGGACCTAAATCCAAGTGGAATAATATTGGAAGAATTTATCATGCCTACCAGGGGTGCATGTTCCCTGGTATACTACCTTTCTTTCTAATTATTCGCATTTTTACAGAAATCTAAACTACATACTGTGGCTATGATTTTTACATTCTGTATTTTATCTTTATCTTAGACTTGCTTCAGGAGGAAGGAAAACATTCTCAGGTCCTAGGAAGGTTCTAAACAACAAGTGAGGGAAAGGACTTCTGTGTCATATCTACCCACCTGCCTGTATCAGTCCCAAGCCCACCATCACCTTAGTACCTGACTGCAATTAGCCCTACTATGTTATCGTTACGTGCTCTAGCTTCAGAGAGAGACTGCACTTAATATCAAGAATGAGGGTGCTTTAGGAAAAGCAAAAACCAGATGAACAGCATTTCAGGAAGCAGGGGAAAAAACGATTGGTGATCCTCCTTGATGTAAAACAATGAATCGCAAACTCTAAAACAGAACCCTGCATTGAACAAGAGGAGGACAGAAGTGGAAAGACTTGCCTATGAATTGAAAGGTATGAGATAAATGGGCAGCACAGTGAAGCCACCTGTGGTTAACCTATTTCACAAATAGGCTTCTTCACGTGCCTCTCGCCATCCTAGGAGGAGTCCAGCTGAGTGTAATAAAAAGTACTCTGTGGAACTAAATATTCTCTTTAAAGCGGGCTATAGAGGATTAAATCCCTAGGTAGAAAACCCAAGACTCATTTCTTCCAGAAACTGTTTTAATATAAGCGGAGAATAAAATAAGGAAGAATTTTACGTTTTCATTTCGGTGGCCATATATTGGTAATGGATTATGGTCTTGCAGTTCTGTATTTAAATGCACATAGAAAAATATAGATGAAACACATCCACAAAAAATACTAACATTATTTCCATGGGGACCGAGAGAGTCACCAGGTGGGAAGGCCCAAGGGGCCCAGCCAGGAGCGCAGCGCTAAGTGTGTGTGTATGCACCCCACGCTCAGATGGAGTCCTTATTCTTTTTTCCCCAAATAAGCTGTAGCAAGATTTGACTATATAGGTGTGGTGACAGTATTTTTAGAACAGAAAATTAAACTTCGTTTTTGTTCTCAGTTTATGAATTTATTGTGATAGCAAGTTGAATAAATTAAAAAGCCAATCACTGAAGTTATGTTTCTTGAATCATCAATAAAAATAAATTGATAAAGAAAAGATATTATGATATAAAGAACACCTCCAAAATTTAGAAACTATGGTGAGTACCTGACTGGTTGGTGTTCAGGTGGCCTACAGCTCTTAGATGTGACCGGTCCTTGATAGTCCTGTCCAGCAGGCATGGGGGAGGGTCTCCAGTCACCATCCATGGGAAAGACATGCATTCTTGGCAGTTTGGGATAGGAACTTAAAATCATAATGGAATTTCCAAGGGAAAACTGTTATATATAATGCCTACATTTTAAGGCATTTCAGTGGTTTTGGACTGAACGGGTTCTTTTTCTTAACAAGCGTTTCTTCAATGTGGACCTGAATATTTCTGTTTTTATAAATTTCTGTTTTTATATACTGTGCATGCACATACACAAACACAAACACATGGTGTGTTTTTCCAGTACGACATGGCAACATCTCTATTCTGTTACAATAATTTGTATACCGAACTTCTCTCCATAGACACCAAACACTTCTCCCCCCATGAACTAGCTTCTGAAAGTTTGCATCTTTGGCCATGGCTGAGGGGTTCAATTGGTTGTACCATACACCGAAGGGCTGCTGGCTCGATCCCTGGTCAATGTTTCTCTCTCACGTCAATGTTTCTATCTCTTTCTTTCTCTCTCTAATACATAAATATATCCTTGGGTGAGGATTAGAAAAAAAAGTGCATCTTTGAACATAGAAGGTACTCAACAAATATTTGCAAGTGAAAGAATGGATAAACACATTTGTACCAATTCTTCATTTCTGGAAGCATATGACCAGATGTTTTTATGTTCGGGGGGAGAGGAAGTAGAGAGCAGGTACCTGGGGAATAAGCTGACATCAGGGATAACTGGAAAACAAAAGACAAACAAAGAATGTCCTGGGTGGTTTCTCCTCCAGCAGAGTTCAGGTGAACAATAAAAACCATCCCTGCCCACCTTTCTACAGAGATTTTGAGTTTCCAAAGTGCTTTCCCACCCATTCTGTCGCATTTCATTCTCACAACAGCCCTGTGGGAGAGATAATAATCATTTTATGAATGTGGAAACTGAAGCTCAGGGAAAATAGTGATTTGCCCTACATTACAGAGCTGGATCTTAGTCTAGATCAGGGGTTGGTAAAATTTTTATGCATTTTATGCGAGAGAGTAAATAGTTTAGCATTGGTGGATTCTCCAGTCCCTGTCACGACAACTCTGCCACTGCAGCACGAAAGCAGCCACCGACCATATATAAACAAGTAAGTGTGGCTGTGTTCCAATAAAACTTCATTTAGAAAAATGGGCAGTGGGCTCAATTTGGTTTTTAGGTCATAGTTTATTGACCCCCGGTCTAGGTGTTTTGACTCCAAATCCAGTACCCTATGCCATAACCACAGTTACTCCATTTGAACTAAAATGTTATTGATATCTGCTTTGAGGCCCCCAAATACTTCTGAGGCTTTTTTGAAGCACCTAAGAAAAAGCAGATTATCTTCCATAGTTTGTGTTAAACATTCTAAACATGTACTCAAATTCTAAGAACGGTTGCAATCATAGCTGATTATAACCCCTCATTTTCTCGGTCATTCTGGATAGAAGTTGTTTTCTCTTGCCTTTGAGGTCCTGGGGGTTATGATAGCAGGGCTCCAAACGTGGCATCCTCACGGCTGATGGCAGCAGTGGCAAAGCAGTCTGTCTCCTTGCAGGGCTGGCTGGAAGGAACCTCAGCATTTCT